TGCTATATTTAAATGCTCCTAGGACCGTTAATTCCATATTCATTTGGTCGTGTCTTAGTCCATGGGAGGCAGCCAAGAAAACCAAGTGGAGAACAAATGAAAGAGGAGGAGTGAGTCTGAGAACAGAGTGAGTCAGCTATGGTGGCCTTAGAGCAAGGCATTGATAATGCTGGAACTTGGGCTTCCATCTAGAATAATGGACCAGTTGACCAGGTCTCCAGGCCAAGGACAGATTCTCGACCCTCTTGTACCCTGGGAATGAACATCCTGGTGATGCCCGTGAAGATTTCTGACTTCTGGAGAAGATCATGGATCTCTTCCTGAGCTGGCAGGTTCACACTTGTGAGGATCCTTCCCGACGGGGGTGTTTGGTTCATAGAACAAGAACCTTTTGTGCATTTGTTTGGCCCAGCTACTTGCGCAAAAACAGAAAAGACAGGCAGAGAGATTTGAGTAAAGTCCATACTGAGATTCAAATCCAGGCTTCTCAATCTGGTGCTACTTCAGAGCTACAGGCAAGACCTGAGCATGAGGTTGTAGCTAAGACTCTTGAACAAACAGATCTGTCCTGGAAGAAGTACATCCAGACTTCCCCCTGGAAGCAAGATGACAAGACTTGGTCGCCTGTACTTTGGACGTGTAATCAGGAGAATCCAGTCTTCGACAATGGACTCAAACTGTGAGCATGGCACAGGACCGGGCAGTGTTGGGTTGGGTTGTACATAGGGTCATTATGCATTGGAACTGACACCGTGGCACCTAACAACAACGCCAACATGCAGGAGTCTGATTCCTGTCTCCTGCACCAGGCACACCGCCCTCACGTCTCCGGGGAGATCTGAGTGGGCTATGACACTGAGCAGGCTTCAGTGGACTTTCCAGACGAAGGCCGATGAAGAAGAAAAGCCTGACAGTGGACTCCTGAAACCACTCTCTGGAGACACTCTGGAGCACCCTTGTCCAGCAATTGGGGGGACAGCTAGACAGCAGCTAACGCAACAGTGGCTCACCCTGAGGGACTTGTCAGAAGCCTTAGCCACTGAGATAGACACCCACTGGGTATTTTCCTCCCAGGGAGAGTTACCTGAAGGCTCTGGGGCTTGCCCTGAACATCTGAGCCCCCTTCCAGAGTACTTACTGTCTAGAGGAAGTGGGAAGAGGCTCCATTCATGCCCTATGTCCAGTGTCCTCATTTTCATAGGTCACAACATGGGAGTCCTTATGGAGACTGAATTATTTAAAGGACACTCTTAGTGGGCTTAGCATCTATGCAAATTATACCGCTGTTAATGGCAGACGATGACTGCTCCACAGACTGTGAGCCCGGGTAGTAAACGTCCCAGAGATGATTCCTGTCGACTTGGAAGGGTTTTAGCACAGAGGTGAAATGCTCAAGCTGCACTTGTGAGCTGGGCGCTGCACCAGGCAAACAAAATAACATTTCTTACAGTGCGCTGCTGAGTCCCGGAGTGGTGTCCAGGAGGAGGACACTCAGCTACTGACAGGAAGGTGGTTGGAATCCACTGAGAGGAGCTTTAGAAGAAAGGATTCATGGTCTAATTCAAAGTCTTCAGTCTCTGAAAACCCCATGGAGTACAGTTCTGTTCTAATTCATGTTGGGTAGTGAGTTAGTCTGGGTTGACTAGAGAAAAAAAATCCATAGATACTCATGTGTATAAGAAAGAGCTTCATATAAAAGAGTAAGTGTATATTAAGAAACATCCCAGCCCAGTCCAGATCAAGTCCATAAGTCTGATATCAGCCCATATGTCTGATACCAATCTATAAAGTC